CTTACAAATGATCTTCGCAGACGGAAATTAACTAAATGCGGTCCCAAACAAAATTGTATCTTGTTACTGTTTATTAAAAAAACACAACAAAACACACGGTTAAACTCTCATATTACATAACAAAATCTTACAACAGGCACAAGTTCAAAACCTTGTTATCAGATTTCCCAAATTTTATCACAACACCAAGCATTCATTATTCTAAGCACCTCTACCTATTTCTAATGCTCTAGAAAGCCAAAATTAATTTCAGTACGCTTGTCTACTACACATGCTTTTGCTTCTAGCAACCGGAAGGCAACGTCTGTCTTGTCATTAGTGTTAGTTGGCATGTGGCCCTCTCAAAGCACTTCAGAATCCAACAATCACGGGTACACAGACTGAGAAGCAGTCGATTGTTTGATCGCCTGATTGTTCAGCCTGGGGGATAATTATGTCGTGAGAAAGCAGCTGCTTCCCCTTTGAGATTACTACAGGCAGCAAGAAGTAAGCAACCCGACAATGATTGCAATCCACCCCTTACGTCCAATACTGCCACATAACCCAGTTCCCCTCTACGGCAAAGTAATCAAACTTGACAGGAGTCGAACTCATCTTGTGTGTCTTCTGCTTTCCCTTCAAACACCACAAGAAAGGATTGTGCACTATGTATCCTCGGATACAGAAATTGTTGATCTCACAGTGACTGAAGTCATAGTCAGTGCACGATATAAATCGAAACACTCAAAAAATTTAATTTCAGCGCACTTCACTCTTTCTGTGTCGTTAGCATTGTGCATGAATGACATTAGTACAACTTTCTAGACTCTAATGCGACAATGAAGCTGTGTTGCATTGCTCTCTTTCTCCCCAAACAAGGGCGTGTATTACTCTCCATCTCCCCCCATATTGGAATGTTGATCGTATGTAAACTACAACAGGGTTATTTAATGCAGAATAAAAAAATACTGCAAAATGGCAGGTGTTTCTTAGTATTTTTTTTACTAAAAACTGGCCTTAAGTTATGCCTTACTAAATTAATTTTATTCTCCCACGAACATATAATTTTGTGGAGTAATTTAATATGTTCTAAATCACCTACATTAGAACAATTTATTATTTTTTCACAAGCTGAATCCTAACTTATTGCAATCCACGTACCGCACAAAAAGGTACCTTTCATTTCCTCTTTTTCAGACAGCTAAACATGTGTGTTTAACTGCCCACCGGCTAAGGGGATACCTAACGTCAGAATTAGTAGTCCTTTACTGCCACAAGCAATGTAATACCAACACCGCGACAAAGTTCCAAACTACGTTTCTGTTCTGTATCCTGTCTTCGTGTTACCAGTTTACATATCAAACAAATGCAGGCATTAGGGCGCCATGAAATTCGTTGGTTCGTGTAGTCGGGAGGAAGGATCCCATTCCTCTGCACTCACATTGCAGAGGAATCGCCATTTTCAGCAAATAATCTCATTTGGACGCCATTGTTAGTTGTATGGCGGGCGAAGGGGAGAGAAGCCAGCAGGCGCACTGCGAGCGAGGACGGGAGGGAGAAGATCTAATTAGCACGGAAAGCTGATCGGTAATTACTACGATTAATCAATCCGTTTTCCATTTATGTGTGCGTTGTAACCAGGGACCTTCTACACTTGCCCGTTCCACCGGTCCCTCATACCAAAACCACGTAACTCCCTCCACCACCTTCCAACCCTTCGGTCGATTGCATAACCTGTTTCCAATGGATGAAAGGGCACACGATGGTAACGCTGCACTGGAGGTTCTGACCCTGCAGCCTAAACACATTCGGATACACGCGGAGCTGATTAAATACGACTAATCTTGGTACAGAAATCGTACGAGTGTACCTTACTGTAGGAACAAGTGAGGAAATGTGCGCACAGCGTACCAATTCTGACGCGTTCGCTCCGTTGCCTGAAGAGAATGCTCGACTGTAGTGGTATAAGTATTTGTGAGAGGCTGTTTGTTCCATGAAACCATGCCCTTTGACCTTTAAGATTTGCACCAGTGACGTCAGAGTTGTCTGATGCCACTGACTTTGAGTGGGCAGGGTATCTCGCGCCGGCTTGACTGGATTATGACTTTAGAGTGACGGATTCCCCATGTGGTTGCGTTGCTTAGTTTATGACTGGGGACACCTCCGGGGGTTCCGAAAGTCTTTTTGTTGAGCAGAAACGAAGGTCGGTATTCGAGTAAAGTGCTAGTTATTTTTGTCCTCGTCTAATCAAAATTGGACCGTGTTGTTAATACATTTTAATATAATTTCCAAGTATCTAATTTCACGAAAAACTGTTCAGCGGTTGAGTTCCTGTAGTGTTTTCTTGTTTCTAAAAATTGTCACTACTCCCCCACACAGCATCTGCTCGTGATACTGATTTGTCACTGCAGTGGATATATGACGCCATTGCCCTCCCAGAATTCTTTTCTGCAGACGATTAACACTTTCGGCTCGAATAAGCTCTGATGGATTGTCGGTCATCACTCCACGTCGACTTAGCAACTTGATTTGTGTTCAATTAAAGCACTGACACACAACCCTGACTAAACAACTTTCGAGATTTCTTTCTTGGCAATGTTTTTAAAGTAATAAATTCCCGGCAAGCTATTATTTTGGGCTGTAATGAGGTAACAGGTGCATCAGATACAGAATGAGACGAACAGGGCAGGAAAAGCATTTATCGTTTGCCAAATAATAGCTGCATGATGAAGGGGTGTCTGTTCTGGGAAGTGAATAAAAACCCTCAGAGTTAAAATATGGACCGTTAAGTTCCTGTAACCACAATTAGTGCAGGTTTACAACATATCCTATACAGATCAGCTTCGCTATATTACTAGGAAGTTTCATTACGGAAAAGGACGGAAGAGACGTAGGCTCAAGACAGCAATATGTCACACGCAATTATTCCTTAGCATAAGAGTCGTTAATTCGTTTAATCAGATCGAAACCAAAATCGCGAAAATGAGAATTATTATTAAATTATAACACAATTCCAAACTTAAATAATTATAATAACGGAGTGAGAATACCCTCATGAAAGTCACGTCTACTCATTTTAGCATTGAAGTACATTCATCTTGCCGTAATAAGTTATGTTTCCTTTCCCAGATGGTGGACGTTATTTGTGACAGCAATATTTTAGTCGAGCAAAAAATGTTTCTCTGAAAGTCAGTTGCTTCATGTTCGCTTATAATTCCGTTCTCATTTGTACAAATTCTCAGTGTATGACAAGATCGAAAGACTCTCTCATACACATCGAAAATTTGCCAAATTCCACTGACCATGAACAAAGGTGCATTAGAACTGATATGTTAGCCTAGGTTATGCAATAATGTATTTTAAACTTTTGCAGTTCTGGTTTCACATTATTTGAGAGAGAAATTTGTTTCACAAATCGTATCCAAGTAAAAACGTAAAGCCTAACAACTTGAAATTTTTTTAACCCTATCACAACTAAAAAGCCTTCAGATTATCATCACGGACAGGAAACCACAAAATTACCTGAATCAAGTAAACATTACTGAAACTACATTCTGATTAATTTATTTAACATATCTGTTATTATAACATTTAACGTCGCATGATATTTATTTCGCAATGTCAACGGAATTCATGTAGATGTTAATTTAATTTTGCGGATAAAATAACTGCCACTCCATAAACAAGTTCAGTGGATTTCCTATGCCAAATTTAATAGTCGTATTACTATGACATATAGCCAGTAAGAGCACAATAGAACTACGAAATTCACTTAAATGTTATTAGTCCGATGTCCCTTTGTGCTACATTAGAGCTAATTGTGTTCTGTGATAAAAAAGGTTGTAATGAAACATGATTAAATGCGTCAAACTCACACAAACCACGCTTCGAGAGAGAAAAAGATAACCTATCGGCTACCAGAGCTGCAGTGAAAACTTCGGCAGTGATCACACATAAGCGAGTATTATATTCATCTCTTACAGTGCGCAAGTTAATCTCACCTCCAGTGTGGTGATTATTTACTTATTTGTAGTTAATTGGAGGTTAAACGGAAATTCCCCATACTTTTACCTTGTCACGGTATTGTAAACGTTCCAACAGGGTGTATGAAACACCGACCTATGTCAAGTAAACATTATTTAGCATTGGATCCTAAAGGACCTTCAGAACAGGTCCTGAAAGCGAATCCTTGAGTTTTGGGTCACCACAAGGAACAAGGCTCTTTCAGATCTCAGTAAGGTTGATACTACAGGTATGACGACTTCATAAAAGGGAAGTCTAGCAGCTACTTGGTCAGGGAGATATGCCACGACGTGGCGAATAGATACACTGAGCGCAGCTGCTAACGTATTGAAATAGCAGTCGCAAACATCATACAAGGGGTGGTCATACAACTTGTCGCCTGGGAGGAGGGGGGGGGGGTAACAATCCACTGCCGTAGAACTAGAATCTCGTGAAATTCCAAACATGGCCTCGGGCTCAACGGGCGTTTCTGAAAACGTCAATAAACATTCCGGTGCAACACAAGACGCAGATTTGACTGAGAGACTGCAAGCTTCTCAAGAATGTGCTTCATGGAGTTAACTCGACACTCTACTGCCTATTTAATGGTTTTATTATGGATTCTAGGGTAATAATTCAGATTCGGTCTATAGACTAAATTAAAAATGCATACGCTTATTCTGTATTACGAATTGACCCGTCCAAATCTTTTGCGAAGATGTCTGTCTTCTGGGATGCTAAGCCATGTAATGTAGTAGATACTGACCGACGTTTCAGAGGAGTTTACTGCCTCCATAAGCATGGCCCTGGCGGTATAACTTCCCAGAAGATAGCTACCTTCATTATCATCCCCGTGAGGACCTCAAATCTCACCACATTTTTCTAGTCTGTACACTGACGATGGGGGTGTTAAGAGCTGCATGCATTTGTTTTCTTTTATTCTTCGTATTATAAGGGCACGCAACCTTTTTCTACAAGAAATGGACGAATGCCTTCTATGTATTGCCAATTCAACTCACCAGTTGTTGACTTGAAGAATCGTTAGACCCGTGTCCTGCGCCAGCTGTTTCTTTTGGTCCTCCGAAGGGTACGGATGCTGGAATCAAAAGAGCAGAAAATATTTCAGAGGAGGAGAAAAAACAGGCAATTGAGGCACTAAAAAAACACGTACATTTTTGTGATCAGGCGTAACGTTAGTGAAAAAAGTGAGTGGACAATTGGAAATGAAGATTCCTGGGAACGAAGTAAACAGATGTAGTACGTTTCTTAAGAATAAAGGAGGATCTTTTTGAAAACCGAAAGAAAAGACATAAAAATAGCGTGTCAATGGTATGGAAACACGATACAGCTTCATTTCTTTTATTCGACGAATACCATACATACAACATTCAAACTTTATCAAAAGGCTTTCAGCCTAATTAGGTGAGACCTTAAAAGATTTAAGTTTCATCCCCAGAATAATGATGAACTGTGTACGCAGCTACCAATGTTCATTACAGACATGGAATCTCACATGCTGCTCCCAATTTGAAGGATATGATTTCCGGTGAAACTAAACAAAGACGTTTCATCATACAATTTCCCTGGAGAGCCATTAGACTAGCAGACGAGCACACAGCAAGATGGAATTAGCTTATGGGGAAAAAATGTGTTCCGTTGTCTGGATTACCAAGTAAGGTTGTCTTTGTTTGTCCCAGGTTAATTATGAATACTAAATTAACAGTTTCAAAGGTTGCGACAATGGTCTCGTATCATAACACACAGACGCTCCCGGGGCACAATTATCACTACGAAACTGAAGGCCTAGAAGCAACTCAGGTAACACCAGCTTCATGCATATTACAGTCATGGAAAGTGCCGTACCAAAAAAAGCGCCACAGATGAGTGGTTCAAATTCTATCTTCGTATTCGAGAGATCTCTGGTTCAGATATAATTCTCAACCCCATACATTCTGTGGTAATTCATGGTAGTTATTGCAAACGAGCACAGATTAATATACAACCCACTTTAAAGCAAGACACAATCACTTACTGAATTACTTGTGGAATTCACCATTCATAACCACTCTTGACATTCGACGCTAGATAATGCGGTGATAACACGTAGTTAAATAAAACACGAATTAATCATCGTCGTAATAACTGCTACTCAAGACTCGTATAAAAATTAGACACAGAAACACATTTCATGACAGTACTTAACCATAGCCAAGATTGCTTCTTTGAAAACCAACAATCCTTGAAAGTATTTTAGATTTCTGTTCCATTAAAGAATACTCTAAAGTCCTAAAATAGTTCAATTGCAAACTCTGAACAACACAAAAGCACGGAAAATAGCAACTCCAGCACGGCTACGATAATGAAGCAATTACTCCCTCACCAACCTAACCCTCCACCCAATCCCCCGGTCTCTGCATCGCTAGAAAACAGCTAGCAAAGCAATCATGGTAATTGCACGACAAGGAGAAGCCTGCAGGACGTCCTATGTGGGAAAACCGCTTGCTTCGCAGTTGTAGGATGCCATCTAATCCGAACCAAAACAATGGCCAGCGATACCAATAGAATATAAGCTGCACCTTCCTTCCCCTCCCCTCCCTGTTTTTCACACCTTTTAAAGTATCCGTAACCTGTTCGTCGCACTGATTTCCTACTTCCTATGCCCCAGCGTTTACAATCGTTTCTCTAATCAAAAAGACTGTATAGAACAAGACTTCAGCCACTAGGAAACAATAAAAACTTCCAGAGGTTAACAGGTAATGGCCGGAGTTTTCTCACATATAGATAGAATCGCAAACTCCACTATGTTAAAATCTGTCAGCAGGTAAGTGGACTGCACATACAATTAATAATCTACTCCGTGTAATATTTCACTGGTTTCAGATATGGAGGTCCCAAACACCAAAACACGATCATGAATTTCGGAACCTAATGAAAGTAACGTTAACAAAGGACCGGTTATTACTCCTGCTTCGTAGTCGAGAGGTCCTGGGTTCAGACCTTGTCATGCAGATCGTGTATTCTAGTTGATGCTTTCGTGGTTTTCTTCAGTCTCTCGAAAACGCCGAGCTAATAGTTTGTCGCGACCGCTTCCTTCGATTACCTTCCCGACTCATTATTCATTAATCATCCAATAAGCTGGTAGCGTCGTTAAATAAGCCACACAGGCATAGGCAACACAATTAAGGCCTGAGTCAAAATTCATATCGATTTCAATATTCTATATCCTGGGTAACGTAATATCGATCTGGCCATTTCAATTAACCGACTTCAAATGCCAATTTTAAAAAGGCCCCACTTGAACCTTTTCTGTGATATAATCCAGTTAAAATTCTCACAACCTAAATCCTTAAGATGCGTTTACTTCTAGGTCATCCAGGTGACAACTTATAAAACAGATTTCCCCATAAAATTCTGCATGTTTTTATTGTTTTAATGCAAGAACCACGTAAATACCGCTTAAACTTGTTTCATGATGGGGATAGCATCACATGCCTATTTGTACAGAACTTTTTAAAATCATTAACCCGCTTTTAGGGCTGTTTCTAGGGGCAGATCTTATCACAGCAGCATTCTGGGACGTTGAAACGCAACAGAAGAGTGTGATTCCTCGACTTTAAATTCGTGACGACAAAATGACACAGAGAAAATATGGATAAATTATGAGTCAGAAAAAAAGCGAATGGGAAGAAGCGAGAAGAGAATAAAACAACAGACAAAATAGGAAAGAGGATGTCGTCCGCAACCCCATCACAGGCAATCACTTTTTTTTTTGACGGCAACTCAACTAAAAAATACGAAACCAGCTCACAAAAAATCCCTATTGCTGCTGTTCTGAGCATGGAGGGGTACACATGTCAAAATGACGTGATGTTCGTTAGTTAAAATAATAAAAAAACGGCCATTCTCAGCAAAACGCCAGCCCCAGTAGAGAACGTGCCATTATCAGCTTGACATGCAGACACGCGGTATCACGTTGGGGCGGACTACAGTTCGTGCCCGGCAGCGCCATCGGTACACGGGCGGGAAGCTGGCAAATTAGCAGGCACACTACCAGTACCGCGTTCTGGATCATGTTGGGAGGGCAGAGATGCTAGTGACAGGCCGTCAAGAGGTGTCTTTCACATGTTATTAGGGGCTCACGATGGAAAATGTTGGGACAAGAGGTCCAACAATACAATCAATGAAGGCATTGTCCCCACCAGCAGATCAGTTTGACAACTATTGAGTCTGCTAATAGGCGACAGTAGCAATGATGAATTTTGTTACGTCGATACGGACACAACAACGGCCATGTATTATTTTTTAAAAAAAATCTATCTGTGTTACAGCGGGGCGTGAAAAACTGTAAATGAAATATCTGTGGACAAACTAGTCTTGCAATGACAGGAATATACGTTTCTATTCTACCGTAAGCTTACTTCTTTCCTCGGGTTTTAAATATGATGGTGCAATGATATGGAGCAAAACAGAGACGCGGAATCATTTTGAGGAAATGATTCAACACGAGCACATGCCAACCGCTTTGTTCCGATTCCAACACTGAAAGTAACTATTAAAATATTTAACACAATTTTCTAACTCTCTTGTCTCTATGCGGTTCCTCGCGGCTGCCACCAGCATCGACAACGAAGATGGTTGTATTCTGCGCTGTTGGGCCGTGTTGTCTAGCACATACTGACTTATGTTTCAGAGGAGTTTACTGCCTCCATTATCATGGCGAGGAGTGGACGCAGTAAACGCTTCTGAATATAATCACTGGTTATTCTAAGAATAATATGAAACCGATAAATACAGTCTCTTGAGGCAAATGCAGAGTTACTTAATTCTTAAAGTAGGTGATGTATTAATTTACCATTATGATTGAAAGAGTGACTGAATAAATCTGCAAAAACACCTTCTGAAGATTAGATCATGACTGGGCGTGTGACTTTCCATGGTGTTAGAGAAACTTGGATGAAAAGGAATGGGCGTTACTCCTTTTGTATCATATGGGCTGGGTGAACCCCCTTGTCGTCGAACTGCTGACTTACCCCCTCATTATAACAATCACCACGCCCCCACCATTGTTAATACTGCATGGACGGGCGCTGCAGTTCTTTCATCGGACACCTACATAAACCATATACTAGAAGCTGCTTATATTTCACAAAACGCATGTTATTTTCTTACAGCATGCACGAATGGGAAGGAAACTGTGCCCATTTAAAGTTAAAAAGCCAAATGAAAATGGCAGGTAAGACATCCTAAAAACTAAAAGTGTTAGTGGATCAGAATCTAGTTAAAAGTATGGAGCCCTGACCCAAAACAGATAGTGGCGCCTCGCGATCGAGTCTGTATTCAGTAAAATTCAAGCTGGCACCCAAATTGTGGCCTTTCACAACCTGACAATATTATCGGAGTACATTCCAACAAACTTTTTTATAATTGTTTTTTGGCTACTTTTACAGCAAACAATAAACTGGCGGCTAGGGTAATAACACCGCACCCAGATTAAATTAGAATACACAGTTGGAAATCCTTTTGCTGAAATATTATAATTTAATAGAGCTGTCATTACAGAGAGTACATCTGCTATTGATAGCGTTATCAAATCCTGTTACTACATAATAAATGTTTAGAATTGATGGAGTAAACCAAACTCAATACCAATGCAACAGTATAATAAATATCAATCTTTAAAGGATTAAGTTCACAACATAACGAATAACTTACGAAATAATTCGTTCCATTCAGCAAATTATTTTAAATAATAAATAACAATTAAACTTGCCACTTACATTAGTCAAATAGAAGCTTTGTATTTCGACTCTAGTCAATCTAGTGGTTGCTCTTTTGTGTTCTAAAACATATTTCGTTTATTCAGAACACTCTTGTTCAGAGTTATTTACACAGGCTCACCATTAACTCGTTCTCAGAGTCATTAAGAGTAAGATGGTCAATTTAGGAACCTCAAAACACAGACCGGACAACTAGCCGAAAGTCAAATTGCACTGAAAAAATTTCGGTGTTATGTTTTAAATAAAAAATATTACTTTGGATAGAAGGAAAAATTAGATTCTTAATACTGTCAACAATGTGTATATATATATATAATGT